CCCAGAACTGGAGGAAGTTTCTGCCAATATCCCAAGGCCCCAGTGACCCACAGTGTCTCGAGTGAGGCTGCAGTGATCAAGCTGCTCTTTGCAATGTGTGTGAGACACTGAGTACCAGAAAGTCCCCAGTCAGTGAAGCTACCTTGTAATGAAACCTTTTTGTAAGATTTTAGGTATTTTTAAAATGTTTTGTTCATGCATTTACAATTCTGATTATTTGAGACCTTCAGAAGTGGAAGACAAAATTGAGATCCTTTTCTCTAAGCAGCGAGTACCTGCTCTCTTCTTGCTCCAAGAGACTTCGATATGTCGCTATCTCCTCCTCCAGCTTCATCCTCGTGTTCAGGAGAATTTCATGCTCTCGAAGCTGTTTCTCAATTCCTCTTCTCACTTCCAACAACTCTTTCTCCAAGCATTCAATCTCACCTTCCAAATTTTGTAGTTGCATGTGGTACTGCTGCTCCGTGGCTCGCAGTGAACGTTCCAAACCCTTTTCCTGTGAAATTTAAGTAATATTTTAAGATTTGGAAAGTTTGTGTGCAAAGATGTTACAGACATACGTGGTTTCATTAACAAACTGTATTTTTACATCCGTTCTTGTAAGATTATTCTTTAAGAACAGGAGTAAAGCTTTCAAGGTAATACTTTGGCTGAGAAATTTTCTGTGGTAATTTAAAATCAGATGAAAGTGTAGCCACGTCTTGCACAACAATCTACTGCCTTGAGTTTACAGCTTTCTGATTTTACAGTTAAACGATGTCCAGCTCAGTGCTGTATGAAGTGTCTTTGTGCTCTTGGAGCTTTTCTGTACTGCTGAATTGAGCAAACAGCTGACATTTTATCACAAATGAATTGATGAATCTGGTCCACACATTAAAAAAAGGTCATAAACATGCTGTGAATTGGTAAGGCAGAATGACCAGGAGCTTGGTGAGGGACTATCATGCAAATAATGTGCTTGGGAGGTATGAAAACAGGACACCACGTCTGGAGTGGCAGATCCTGCTCCAGAATGTGTGCTGGGTCAGTGTGTGTGAGCGAGGGCTCTGTGAGGAGCTGGAGCCCCCAAATGAGTATTCCTGTGGTGGATTTCTGCAGTATGGTGGCTGTGACTGTCACAGAAATCGACTGTGGGATAGTTTGCATCAAGGACAAATCTTTTTTCTGTGAGATTTCAAGTTTCATTTCTGACTCTTACCACAGCGTGGAGAGACTCGATTTCGATCTGCATGTGGTGCCACTGCCGTCGGGCTTCGCACAGTTCTGCTCTGGCTGCCTTTAGTGCTTCTGCATCTTTGTCCATTCTTTTACTTGTACCTTCTTCTAACTACAGGGGACATACAAAAGATAACAGTATTAAAAGTATTTGAATAACAATAATAAATTGGCACATAAAAATGTCTGGTTAAAATTTTTATTAGAGTTGTATAAATATGTGAAAGCTCACAGTGAGGAGTTAATATTTTCTGTATTATGTAGAGGGAAAGCCCTTATTCCACTGTGTTTGATGGGAAGTGGTTGGTCACATCTCTATCCCTGGCACCTTTGTCCTAGAGGAATTCTCATACAAATTACCCAATTGTATTGAGACTTTACTCACCTCTGGAATAAAGGGGCTTATAGAAGGTGCAGATAGTTCAAGCTTCCAAGTCTGAATAACATGCTTTGATTTTAATGCATTTTTGATTTCAGGGTTTTGGGTTTTTTTCTTTTTATCCTGTTAAAAGTAGTTTTTTAAAACCACTCCTGATCATGTGTGGGGTAATTTTAGATTTAGACTTGTCTTTGATTTCAGTAGTATGCATGTAACTTCCAGAACGATTGCTTGGCTTACAGAAGTTATTTTTCTTTTTTGATTCTGAGTTTCCCTGCAAGTGGTGAAGATGCCCTAAGTTCTTGAAACAGTAGTTGCTCTTTTGCTTATTTTACTGCTTTATGCAGGTTTTTATGGTGACATAGACTTTAAGAAAATAATCTCTTTAATTCAGGGCTTAGGAACTAAGAAAAATAAGGGTTTTGTTCCCCTGTTCATAGTGACTTATTGCAACTTTACTAGATGATATTTTTTTGTGAAAAATCTAGGTTTGTCTCATCCACAAGTGAACCCCCAGTGTTTTTTGCTTCCCCTTTCTTGCTTGGTTGCTGCAGAATTTGTGTGACAGGATCAAACCAATGGGCATTGGCTGCTTTGTGCCAACATAAAGATCAACTTGGCTTCCCTGTCGGGTGTCTGGCACTGCTGGTGGATCAGCCAGGCTGCAGCAGCGTCTGGCCTGTCCTTAAAACAAACCTCTGGGATTCCTGCAATACCTGATTACAAGGTGACAGAATACCTGATTTCCCCCTGAATGTTTTTACATTTGGTCAAAATTGTTTTGCCGTTTGATTTCAGTTGGGTTTAGGGCTGTTTGTATGTAAATCCCTGACAGCAACATTGAGTGTTGGTAACATTTAATCAAGCTGTATGAGAGAACAACTGATATGTGCTGAAGAGCAAAACATAGTTTTTACTGTGAGCAATAGAAAATAGTTCCTGCAAAGGTACAGTGTACTTTACTAGAGGGCTAAAAATGGCAAAGATTGCTGCATATAGAAGGATTCTCTTCAGGATTTTTTTTTTTCCTCTGAAATAACTACATGGAGCTAGAGGTTACCCTGTTACAGCCTATGTCATCATCCCTTAAATCCCAGCAATAGCCCGGCTGCAGGGACAGAAAAGCATCCTGATGAATTACACAGCATTCGTTCAGCGTGAATCCATACCCTTGACAAAATCTATTTCCGATTTTTCTAGTTCACATCTTACTGCGGTAAAATCCACGTCCCTTCCCCGAAAAACTGCTGCATTGAAAGGAATTACTGTACCTCATAGAGGCTGCGGGAGGAACTGTACGGCCAGGGAATGGCTCTGTACTCTGCAAGGTGTGTGGCTGTGAGGAGGCATTACCTGCGTCCTTGCTGAGCTGACGGTCTTTATCTGATTTCGGGTGATGAGCGATTCATACTTTGCCCTGATCTCTCGGCGGAGCCGAGCCGGCTCCATCCTCCTCCTCCTCCTCCTCCTCCTCCCATCCTCCCCGGCTCCCGGCTCCGCTGCCGGCGGCGCGGGGCTGCGGCCGCGGGGCCGTTAAAGCGGCAGCGGCCCATTTCGGGGAGCGCGGGGAGCTCAGAGCCTTCAGCCCATCCTGGCAGCAGGTTAATGCAGCAAAGGATAGCACTACAATAACTATTCCTAAATCATGCACCCAAATGAATCTAAAATGTCTTTATATTTTTGTTACGCTGTAACTGTGATAAAGTTGCCGCTGCCCAGCATGAAGTGCTCTGGCAAGAGGACATGGAACGATAGCATAGCTGGGTTGGTGGCAGTGGCGCTGGCAGGTGCCTCCACCATTGTTAGGGATGTCACAGAACTTCCATCCCTAAAGGTATTTGAGACTCAGTGAGATGAAGTCTCGGGTGTCTGAGCTGACCCACTGTTGAGGACTGTCCCATTTCATGAATGAGCTGGGCTCCTGGTCATCCTCTTTTATGGGCAGAAACACAACAAGGAGGGAGAGGAACCAGCACTACTGGTGGTGAGTAGTGCTGGTGCAACTTGTGGTAAGGGCTTTGTCTCCTCTCCTGCAGAGGGCAAAATTCTGGTGAATGTACACTTCAGACACATCACTGCTGTCAGGAAAAGGGTCTGGGTTGTTTCTGACGGCGTTTCAGAACCTGTGCCAGATGTTGGTGTGCTCAGTACACTCAACACACAATGTATGTGGGGTTCTTACCCCTTTCCTGACAGCTCCCAGGCAGGTCCAGCACAGGTTTCCTGGTGTGCTGTGCTTTTTCATTTTCTGCTCAATGTAGCACTGTGTGATCCCAATGATCTTGTCTGCTAAGAATGGCTCTTACCTATTTCATTTTAAATCTTGCTTATTTAATTTTTTTCCAGTAGTGCACAATACCAGATATGCAGTAAAAAAAAATTCCAATTTCAATAGAAATTTAAAATTTAGCAAAGAGAGGAATGCATTTTTGGTACTTGGAATATACATCAATGAAATGATAAAACAGGCAGTAAATTTTCACAAGACACACATCTTTTTAGAAGTCAAAGTACCACTTAAAAGTCTCCTGGTATAAAAAGGCTTGCCTGTTCTTGGCTGTGTCTGTTGGCACATGTGAAAGGATCCTGTGTTTGGATTTTCTTTTCCTTAGCTGACTGTCTTCCATTTGACCTGGACTGAGATGGAAAGGTTTTGTTGTCCACTCTCTTTTCTACAATTGTCTCAATTATCCTTGTTCTGTGTAGGTCTAAACCCAAAATATTGTCAGTGTTTGTCATTGCTGGGATGAGAGCAGTTACATAAGGAAACAATTAGGAATGTAGCAGACAAACACAAGGTATTGCACTTGGGATGGTATAAACTAATGCTTTCCTTTTCTACCTTTTTTTCAGGTATAAAGAAACACCTGGCTATGAGATTTCTGGAGGCTGAAGGTAGGTAGGTGTAAGCAATTGCATCTTTCCTAGGATTTGTGGAACTTTGAATTCTAGCTGCTTTCAATGTTCATATTTTATTGCTGGCTCACCACACAGCTGGAGGGGGTCATGGAGAATAAAGGGACACTAATACCTTAAAGCTTGTTGAGTCCTTTTTATTAGGCATCAAACCTGGAAAATGCTATTAGAACAGCAAAATTATTTTATCTATTGATTACTAAAGATTATAAAAAGGAAAATCTGATTAAATGTGTGCTTCATATTTCTGGTTATTGAACAGAGATTAGATGATATTTTTAAAGAACACCATGGAAATCATATAGGTAATGCTGATAGAGTGAAGCAGGAAATGTATTTTATGTCTGCAAGGAATGGAAGTGCCAACTTTGTCTTATCTAAAAGATTCTTAGTACAAAGCCAAATGTTTTATCACTTCATACAAAAGAATAAAGTTATTTATCCATTTTGGCTTGGAGTAAATGGATCCTTTGCCACATCAGATTATGCCTCATATCTTCTCTTCAACTTCCTTAACGTGGGATGCAACAACTTTTCCATCTACCACTTCTTCAACAATTGTCTTGATCTTTCTAGTTTTGGTTGGATCTAGACATCATGAACAAAACAATAAATATTTATCAATGTGTTAAAAATGATAAACCAAAGCAGCACATGATCAGGTACTCCCTTTTCCTTTCCAATTTGCTTCTGATTTTAATGAACTCTATTATGTAGTTAAACAGGATAACAGGTATTATTTTATTTGTAAGAATGACTTTAGAAACAAAACTTTATTCAATCAAGTTCTACCTACCTTGAGAAGAATCCAGTGATTGTGTTTGAGATTTGGACCCTGTCAGGGATGAGCTTTCAAATGTAGCTGCCTGTCCAGCACTTCTAAAAGGGAATCAGAGACATGCACTATTTCAGGCTGTCTGATAGGATCATGGTGACATTGATAGGTTATTTAAATAGTGAGCAGAATTGCTCACTCTCCTCAGTCACAGTGATATTTCAGATCACTGTATGTGCCTTACTGTTGCTTGGAGAATGTTCCAGTTATTTTACCTCTTTTTTTCCTGGAAAGGATTTTGGTACAGAAAATAAACCCAAGGAGATCTTTTGTGTCAGCCAGTTCCTTACACAAACTCGCCATCCAGCAGGCGCCGGTAGGTTTCAATCTCCATTTCCAGACGAGTCTTGATGTCTAGGAGCTGTTGGTACTCCGCGTTCTGGCGCTCCATGTCAGCCCTGACCTGGAAAAGCTGGGACTCCAGGTTCCCGATCTGCATTTGGATTTGTGACAGCTGAGCGCAGTAACCACCTTCCGTTTCTGCTAAAGTGTCTTCCAGGGATTTTTTCTGTGAAAGGATATTAAATAATCTCTGGTTAAGGAAAAAAAAAAACCTCTTTGCAAAACCAGCTGAAGTTATTTAAGGGAGTGAGCACAGCTGCATTACTCAGAAGGTTTTATTTTCTTTTTGAAAACACTGGTTTGAAAATCGTCCCTTGTCACTTCCCTAAGTGTGATGTAAAAACCGATCTGCTTTGTGACATGCTCTTTGAAATCCAGTTAGATATATTACTGCTGTTTGGGAACTAAAATTTAAGTGGAAAGAAATGCAAATCCTCAATTCTATGGAATAGGATTAGGTCTAAAAAGACTTTTGAAGTTACTGAATTGGCTCTGAGCAGTCAGCAGCTTCCCAGAACGTACCATGGCGAGCTGAGACTGCAGCTCTATTTCCAAGCTCTGGAGAGTCCTTTTTAAATCTGTGATCTCGCTCTTTCCTGACTGGAGCTGCTCAGTATGGGTGGAGATTTCCCTTTTCAGCTCTCCGCTCTGAAATGACAAGGAAGAATGGGATGTAATTTTACTGTTCCAAGTATTGAACTCATTTTCCCATGCATTTTGCTGAGTTTGCTCTCTCTGGTTGTTACTTTTTCATTGAACCACGCCTCGGCCTCTTTACGGTTTTGATCGGCAATGACTTCATACTGTCCCCTCATATCATTCAGAAGCTTGGTCAGGTCAGTCCCTGGAGCAGCATCCATTTCCACACTGACTTGGCCAAGTTCACTGCTTTGGATGCCCTGAAGCTCCTGGAGGGATTGAAAATAAAGAGAAGGTTCTGTTAATAAAAGACAAAATAATTATACCAAAATATATGTAAAGAAATATACGTGATATAAATTCTGTTTCAACAAGGATCTGTAGATTGTTTGTCGCACTCTTTCACTTAGGAAACTCAAAAAATAACAGCAAACAAAACCTATAATGAAACCCAGGAACTCCCACTGGCTTAAATAAGGGAGTAATTTGATGTTTCACAATTTCATGTGTCTTGTTATGAGTTCACAAAGGAAAAAAAATACCTCTTCGTGATTCTTCTTAAGATAAGCCAGTTCTTCATTCAGGCTTTCAATCTGCATCTCCAGATCTGCCCTGGTCATGGTCAGCTCATCCAGGACTCTGCGCAGACCATTGATGTCAGCTTCCACACTCTGCCGAAGAGCCACTTCATTCTCATATCTATGCATAAAGGGATTAAATGTTACTTTTTCCATGGCCATGAGGTCAAATGGAAACTATTAATGTATTTTATTTTGGCTTTAATTTGAAAATTTAATACACATAATTATTGTAATACTGTTTAATAATTATACTAAAAGTATTCTACAAGGAAAGAGATTCCTTAAGGAGTTCTTATAGCACTAAGAAATTCTTACTTCACTCTGAAGTCATCAGCAGCCAGTCTGGCATTATCGACCTGCAGAATAATCCTCGCGTTGTCGATGGTTGCATTGATGATCTAGAATTCAAACAGTGTTCAGAAACTGTTGTAACAGCCCAAAGGCTTCATGGTTTTTGTAATGGCTTTAGACTTTGTATTCTACAAGGGTATGTAGAACTGCATTCCATCAGTGCCTTCTCCTTTATTCAGATTAGACAAATCACTTTGTGACACAGCTACAGAACTGCTTTAATGGACAGGAAAAATTCACCACATGTCACCAGTGCAAGGTAACAGAGGTCACTGCAAGCATCAGTACCAAAGGATAAATGTGCTCTTGTTTGCTAAAAGAAATTTATGTTGTTTGCATTAATACTATTAAGTGAGTTACAAATATAAAGCTATGTTAATTGCATTGCTTTGCTACCTTGTTTCGAAGATCTTCAATGAGGGGGTAGAATTTACTGTAGTCATTCCCAGATCCAGGGGTGCTAGTGCCAGGGCCATTTTTCTCATACCATTCACGGATTTTGCGCTCCAGCTCGGTGTTGGCATCCTCCAGAGATCTCACTTTGTCCAGATACGCAGCCAGACGGTCATTGAGGTTCTGCATAGTCTCTTTTTTTGAGCCAGAAAGAATGCTGCCATCACCAGCACCAGCAGGGCTGAACCCACCTCCGAAACCAGTCCCTAAGCCACCACCAAAACCACTTCCAAAAGCAGCACCTGAACTGCTGCCAAAACCACTTCCCAAACCTCCCCCAAACCCACTGCCTAAGCCACTTCCATAGCCACCACCCAAACCACCTCCAAAGCTTCCACCAAAGCCACTGCTTAAGTTGCCTCCAAATCCTGCACCTGAGCTGCCCCCAAAGCCCCCACCAAAGCCAGAGCTTGAACCCAACAGAGAAGCTGCACCAAACCCTCCACCAGACCCCCCACCAAAGCCAAGCCCGCTGCCACCAAAGCCTCCTCCACCACTGGAACTGGACATCCTCAAAGATCCCCCTCCAAATCCGCTCCGAGAGGAGAATTGCCGGGGCCCGCCACTTGTGCGCACGGAAAGGGCCATGGTGCTCGAGGTGCCCAGATCTGCCCTGTGGAGGATACAGCAGAGAGCAGTGCAGAGCAGGAGCAGGGTCAGCTTTATAGAGACAGCAGTGGGTGTTTCAGGAGGAGTCCCCACCTCCTGGGGAGAGCTTTCACTCTCTCTCTCCCTCCTATTTGGAGGGGATGTCAGTTTAGTATGTTCTGACCAACTGAAATGATATGTGCCAACTGAAATTGCCAATGGGAGTGGAAATCTGGTACCCTCCAGGTATTTGTATGAGGGGAAATGGGTGGAGTGCAGCTGAGACATCACGACTGTGTTCTGCCATGTGCAATGAAGCACAAAAAGTTCTTTTTGCATTTAAATCCCTTATAAATAATTGTTTTGTCATTGCAGATGCAGTGCTTCCTGCATTTGGGGCTGTTCTTACAGGAGTTTGCTAAGTCAGCAGACTGATCCCTTTGATCCCTGCTTCTCAGCCTGTGTGGCAGGAATGTCTTTCTTTTCATAATCCTCTTCAGCCAGGAGCCTTTGCTGGATTATTGCTCCTGGATGCTTGATAGGAAGTAGGAAAAGTGACCATCAGGTGTCCAAGGGCACATGGATGTTCAGTGAGCTGCAGGGTGATCATTAATATGAAAACATAAATATACCAGATAGGATTTGGAATTGGGTTTATGCCCTAGCCCTTTCATCACTGAAATACCTCAGAGTGACATGCTTATAGTCTATAGCATATAGTCTATAGCATATAAGAGTTTGTACTTTAGAGTTGAGAACTGACCATTCTGCTAAATAGTTTGCTGTTATCTCAAAATAAGAACTCTGATTTCTGTATTTGGTGCTTTTTATAATACAGATCTGAAGATCAATTGTAGCACTTCTGGGTGCAGGTTTGGGCATGGGAACCCTCCCAAGCCAGTATATTTTTCTTTTGAAGTTATCTTGATAAATGGAAAATAGTTTTTTCTTTGTCCTGGCTTAATTATATCATTGGATTTGTCAACTGAAATGTGTTAATTTTTGATTTATCTGCACTCAAGAGCATGGGGTGCTTTTGGGGCAGAAAAGAGCGGAAGATCAAAGGTGTAAGTAAAGCATTTCTGTGGAAATGAGCTGATATCCTGGTCTCAGTGACTCGGGGCAGTGAAAGCAGAGGATTAGTTCTTTGGCAGCTGTTTATGTACAGTACATAGCTCTGGACAGGTGAGGTTTCATAGGGAAGAACTTTGTGTGTTTATGTTCTCAAGAGGAAAATGTAAACTCCTGAGACTGAGAATCCAGGTGTGGCACAGGGGCCTCCCTATGGGACAGGGAACATTATTGGCACAGAAAGGTTTGACAAAGAGGGAGATAATTTCAAATATATTTTTATCCATAAAATATCTTGGCTTGCTGTAGTCCCTGGTGACATAACCATTCATAGAATGTGAAAAATATCAAATAGGCTTCTTCAATTTGTTTTTTCACGTTAATATATTATGAAAAGCAAATTCACATTTCTAATTTATTTGATAATCAGGTTTTAATGCAGTAAAGCTGCTGTATGTTTGAGTGGGAGTTCACATTTAGAAAAGGTGTGCTGAACTCATGCCTTAGTGCATTTTAAAAACCGAATAGTTACATTTGTATCTAAGTTGGAAGCAATTATGCATTCATACCAGACTGATTTGATTTCTTTCCATCAGGGTACTCAGTCACTATATAAGTAAACTAAAGTCTTCTATGTTGTGACTTACAGATTTTTATTAATGCTCCCCAGAAAAACAGCAGCAGCAACAACAAAAGATTTGAGATTTTGGCATTTTTTAATCCTTCTGGTGTTTAGGGTGAATTAGATAAGATTCTTTATAAACCTTTTCGTTTTGGCATCAGTTCCAGGGAACTCAGAGGCATCTTTTCTGCTGGTGCCATTTACATCTTCTCTTCAAACTCTCTGACCTCAGAGGAGACAACCTTGCCATCAACCACCTCCTCCACTATTGTCTTGATCTTCTTAAACTTACTTGATTCTGTTAAGGAAATTGAGAAGTAATTTAATGCAATGTACATGACAATATTGCTGCAGTAGTAGCAGTCAATGAGGAAAAATCAAAAAGCATCTTCAATCCACAGGTCCTTGAAGTAAACTTTTGCAGTGTGTGGGGTGTGGCTTCTCCTCTTTTGGATATTGAGTGTGTTGCCCATAGACTGTAGTGGATACTGGGTTCAATAACTCTCTAGCACTCTTGATTGTCTTGCTTTAGTTTATCACAGACTTGTAGACCTAAAACCTTGGAATAGACTTAGACCAAATTGTAAATTTTGGCTATGAAACTGGATATGTTACATGGAAGTCTCAATGTTCCTGTGCAGCTAGCAGGGAGAGGCAGGTGCTTCTGCAGTTCTCCAGAGGGGAATTCAGTAGCTCTCTGTTGTTCTTTTGGCTCTCTGAGGACTCATAGAATGACAGAATGGGTAAGGTGAGTCTGATTTTACACTGAGTTGTATATATAAAACCAGGGTTGTATAGACCTTATAGGGTAACCATACAGTTGATTGCTTTCTTGATATGAGATTCCACTGGCTGATTATTTGCTCTGAAGCTGTTGTTGTGTATCAGGCTGCTTAATTCCATAACATTTCAACATGCTATCATCAAAACAGAAAGAAGTTGGTGGGACATACCTTTTTCAGCCTCTATTGCCAATGATATCTCTTCTAAATTCCTGTTCAAATTGTAAAGTAGAAAATGTAAATATATGGCAACTCATGCATTTAAGAAACATCCTTGTGTATTTCCTATGTGTTTGATCAGGACAGCTAATCCCCTTTCATCAAGACATTGAATCAGAGGATAACTCAGTAAAACGAGTTCTCTCAGTTGAAGTGAAACTTGCTAAGCATAAACTGTAGGTACAGTTAATCTGCAGACTCATCTCTGCAATGCTAGGACTTCAGGTCATGCAGGTACACCTGATCTAGTTCCTGAGCTAGAACAGCTGGACAGGTAGAATTTGGGGGGAAGTTCCACTTTCTGCTTAACCCACACAGACAAATTGATCAAAAACTGCATTACTGGTGTTCCTGGTATGTGAACATCTTACCCAACTCCCCAGCTCACAGAGAGACCATCTGTAGGCTGGGAGAGCCACCTCAAAATTCCACAGCAGCTTCAGTAGCCCAGCCTGAAAGGCAGCCTGCTCTGATTCTGTGGCTGAGAACTGGACAATGGGACTTCTCCACGGCAAAGCAGTTGGAGAGAGGCAGATTTGACACGAAACCCAAACCAACACGCAAAGCCATGTGTGTGCTCACCCCAAACCAACACGCAAAGCCATGTGTGTGCTCACCCGCTTTCCTCTCCCTCCAGCAGCCGGCGGTATGTAGCGATCTCCATCTCCAAGCGAGTCTTGACATCCAGCAGGATGCTGTACTCACTGTTCTGAGCCTCCATGTCAGCTCGGAGCAGCCTCAGCTGAGCCTCCAGACTGGAAATTGCTGCCTGTATCTGGTCAAGCTGGTAGCTGTACCGTGATTCCGTTTCAGCCAGAGTGCCTTCCAGGGTCTGTTTCTATAGTGCATGGGAAGAACAGTGACATGTTCATTGACATATTATTCATTTTGATTGTAAATAACATTTTGATTGATTCCTCTATTTATCTTTTTATCCTCTGTTTATTACACCTCTATGTAACTCTCTGCTATCTACAGTCCTTATCTTGCTTTTTGTTATTTACCATGGTCAGCAGGGACTGTAGTTCCAGCTCCAGGTTCTGGAGGACCTGTCTCCGTTCCGTGATCTCTTTCCTTTGGACCTCCAGCCGCTCAACATTGAGGGCAACTTCCTGGTTCAGTTCTGCTGTCTGGAATGAGGAATAGAGGGACTGTGAACTGCAGCCAGGCATGACCAATGTTCTTGCTGGTGTTTAAGCAGTGGACTTTACCTGCTTTTCAAAATGTTCTTTGGCTTCTTGGCGGTTCTTTTCTGCCATTTCTTCATATTGCTTTCTCATGTTTTCCATAATAGCAGCGAGATCAATGCCGGGAGCAGCATCCACCGCCACGTTCACAGAGCCGCCCGCCTCTTTGCGCAGCCTGTCACGGTCCTGCAGCAATGGGGACTGTGTTAGCACCTGCTGCAGGGAGCTCTCACTCCTGGGCATTGGGCACAAACTCAACATCTACACACATAGGACTAATCCTTAATAGTATCTTGGGGCAAGACAATTTAATCACCTTGTAAATACTGTTTAGTGCACCTCGCAGAACAGTTCACTTACTTGATAGCAATAAATGTTATACCATAGATAAATGTATCATAAAAATGATTTCCTCAGAACAAATCTGTGGAATGAGGGCAGAAGTCATGGTTCCCATTTGTGTACTTTTTGGGGTAGCAATTCCTGAACCATAAATTTTTCTTAGAGAAAACCTTTACTCCTTCATTCCTGGAATGGAGGAGTGTTCAGCCTTTGATGCCTGATAGCTTGAATGTCCCTTTGGGTCACACATGGTAATGCTGCTTCCAGAAAGGATAGAAATGCTTCCTAGTGAGCTTGCTTGTGTTTGCCACACAAAGCCCCTCTCCCTGGCTGTGGTCAGCTGCTCTCACCTCCTCGTGGTTCTTCCTAAGGAAAACGAGCTCCTCGGTTATGCTCTCAATCTGGGACTCCAGGTCAGCTTGGGTCAGAGTCAGGTCGTCACGGACACGGAGCAGTCCAGTGATGTCGCTCTCCACACTCTGCCTGAGCAGGTGTTCATTCTCAAACCTGTACAGTACAGTGCCTTTTGTCATCATTGGAATGCAACACTTTGGAGTAAATGTTAGAATCAGTAACCGCTTCTAGAATCAGTAACCACAGTCATTGTGAAATTATATTAAACTTAAAGTTGGAAAATGTTCACTTCTTGTCACTGATTCCAATAAGTGGAAGCTTTCCTAAATAAGAGGATCATGAAAGAGAATTGATATAAAATCATGGAACTTACTTCAGCCTAAAGTCATCAGCAGCCAGCTTGGCATTGTCGATCTGCAGGAC